ATTAAGTATAAGAATAAAGAAAGAAAATACAAGAAGGAAAAAATAAAAGAAGGGGAAAATGTAAACATTGAGAAGAGAAAGTAGAATTGAAGAGACAAGAAATAGAAAGGAAGGATGAAATAAAAAGAGAGAAGAAAGATTATCTATTCATATCTTTCATATCTTTGTCTTTCTTCTCCCCAAATTTACTCTTTGCTATCCTTCTGTGTGATAAAATATTCATTTATTTTATCCTTCTATTTTCATCAGGGGGTGTATGAGCGGGGGTCGAGCCCCTCGGCCCCCTCTACGCGTGCCCCAAACCCCTGAGGGGGGCACTCATGGGGTGTCTTTTAATATTACATCTGCTTGCATTTCCCTTCCTCAAGCAATATACATTCTACATTGCATTGCATTTCACTCATCCAAACTAAAAGATTAAGAAAAGAAATAAAATATATTCTGTATCCCAACAATACCCTTCAAAGCTTTGTCTGATCAAGTATTGCATAAACATCCATGTTTCTCATTTTGAAAACTGAATATTTTTATTTGTGGTTTCTCTACAAAAGTGACTCGCGCATTTCTTGCTTCAGAAACGATGGAGAAATGAAGGTTTCAAAGGTACATCGGACATGCCATTCTATAAATGGAGGGTCACTTGAAATTACGCATGTATTCTAATTCAGTATAATTACATCGTNCATTTTAAAACTCCAATTTTCTCTATTGAACTAAAATTGTGTGTTTTTGCGCACGCACAAACGCGCACAGTTTTAGCCTTGTAAAAATAAGTTGGCCGACCATCTTTAGATGTACGAAACTGCGCTATATAAAATTGAAAATTTCTGTCTATTATTCAAAAACAGCGTGAGTTTGCGCGTATTAATAAAGAATATGTTTCATTTTAAAATTCCAATTTTCTCTATTGAACTAAAATGGTGTGTTTTTGCGCACGCACAAACGCGCACAGTTTCAGCATTGGAAAAAAAAATTGTCAGATCATCTTCAGACCTACGAAACTGCGCGTATCATTCACACTGTATTACACACACTAAACAGACGTTATTACGCATGCGCATTCAGTGGCCCATATCCCTCGAAATCTCGAGATGTTTCAAACTCAAGAATCTGCGCGTATTTGTCATATACTATTATACACGTGTTACGCAATTACATTTTCTTTTTCTCATGTATTCTTGTCCATCTAGTATCTTTTATCTTCTATTTTATACAATTCTTTTTATATTTTATTTTTTTGTGTACCTCTAATTTCTTATTTTATAAAGCTTTGATAATACGCTTGGAATAGCTTGGAACAAGAAAAAAATATGAGTTCCATGCATGCACTAAGAGCATAAGAACAATAAATGAAATACACAATCTAAGGAACAATAAACAAAATCTAAGACAGGGATTTAGGATCTAAGGACACACAGTTAGGAATAGGAACAAAAATAGAAAGCATAAATCTTGAATTTCTTGGAACTTTTTGTATCTTAAAAGTGTCAAATATGTAATAGTACATTGATTGAGAATCCGTTGGTTTTTATATACTCATTATGATATTTTACAATCAGACATATTGATGATTTAAAACAATATACAGAATACAAATCTGTTAAATACCATGCTTGTCAGATCCTACATATAATATTGTTGCTAACCTAGTTTCTAAACAGTTTATTGTTTAAACATGTGTGACATATTTGGCGCTAAATTATTCAAAATAGGATACTAAATACAACAATAGGATACTGGATTCATGATACTTGTTACGCGTGCCCCCTCTGAGGGGGGGGACTCATGGGGGGGGAGTTCTTTTAACATTACATCTTCCTTAGGCAATCTACATTCTACAATCTACATTCTACAATCTACAATCCTGTGAAAATATAGATATTTTTTTAGAAACGTTTACATCTATATTTTTCATCACGTGAAGCTTTCACCACAGTATTAAGAGGGATTGCCTGGTTTTGTGCCCCCCCCCCCAATACTGCCTGCAATGTAAATATAAATTTTTTATCATAATTTATTATACAATATGTATCAATCCTATGGAAATATAAATATTTTTTTAGAAACGTTTCCATCTATATTTTTCATCCCTTGAAGCTTACACCACAGTATTAAGAGGGATTGCCTGGTTTTGTGCCCCCCCCCCCTTAAGAAAATTACATAAATTTAAGTTTACATAGTTAAAAAAGATATCAATATTTTTTTCAAAACATTGTAGTTTCTAAGGGGGGGCACAACAAAATTTTGCGCGCGCGCAGCGCAAAATGTGCCCCCCATCACAAATGCTCTCGTACGCCCCTGGCAACGCATTGGCTTTTGGGTTTACCTGCCAACTTACTTAAACTTTTTTGTAGCCCTAGACACATATATATTATAAAAATGCAACGCGCTTGTTTTTAGCTTAAGTTTAAAAGGAGTAATAATGAAATATTAACTATATACAAATGCGTCGAAAAATAATCGATGACTTTAGGTTGCAATATCTGAATGATTTGTTTGAATTTAAATTGACTATTTACGATACGAGTCGTTATTGAAACTTTCTGAATTTTTAAGGCTACGTTCTTCGTTATATGTCGTTTTTAACAATTTTCTCCTTATAGACGCATCAGATAGAAGTAAGATTAGTAGCGATCAAAAGCGATTATTTTTCGCAGTAAGCCTATACCCCCTTTTATTTTTCGCGAACACTCCCTTTAAATTTACAATCATGCAATGGTAATTTTGTTTATAAATTGTAACAGAGAACAAGAATGTAATGCTGATGTATTTTTTATTGTAATGTTCATATACAGTAAAATTAAGCAATTTAGTATGTTTACGATAAATCTTGATATTTTTTAGCGAGACATGTGCTTAGTGTAAAATTATGCATACATATATTATATATAAACATGTGTACTATATATGCTATATACATATAATTATATATATACAAGTTAGTAATGTCTGTTTGTATATCATTACTCAAAACTTGAGTAATACAACCTAATGGTGTAACTTTGATTATTTTATTTAACAGAATTCATAGTATGAGTTTCCAGGTATATTACAACATTTAGTTGCAATCTAGGGCTTAGGAAATTTGAGCTTGTGGCAAAAAAGCTTTTCCATTCACAAAAAATTGAAATCCTTTATTATAAGGAGTGTTCGCGAAAAATGAAAGACCTTACGTCGAAAAATTATCGATGGTGATCACCACTTATCTTACTTCTATCTGTTGCTTCTATAAGGAGAAAATTGTTTAAAACGACTCATCCGAAGAACACAGCATCCAGGGCCGTAACTGAAGGGGGGGGGGGGTGGAAATTGAAAATCCTAAACTTTTTCTTAAAAAGAAGTTAATATGCAGTCTATTACTGAGTTATAATCTCAATTTTCAGAAAATGCCACCCAGGGAATTTTCCGCAAATCCATTTTAAAGATATCTCAATCCAGTGCGTTTACAGGTCTAAAATCAAACGTAAGTTTCGTTTAAGGACTTAAAATGCTTCTTTTTGGCTTTTTTACAATATTTTTTTAATGTTTATGGTAGGGTCCCAAATTTTGTAACTTTTCATTAACAGTAAAAAGACGTATTGTAGTACAAAATTAAAGTCCAAAGTCACCTGCCTGACTGACTAGTTACGGCCTAAAAAAGTCATTTTTACGTGATTTTTAAGGATTCCACTTCAAAAACCCTTGTATAGGCAGTACTTAAACAGTCATACAGTTCACTTATGGCTTTGAATTTTTGCTAAAACTTGTCTTAATTAGACTGTTATAAGGACAACTTACAAAATTTATTTACCCTGCCATTGACAGTTCAAAAAAACGCAAAAAAAAACTAGAATCAGCTTAATCAAATCTTAAAACTAAAGATACATTTGTTTTTAGTCCAGAAAATGCACTTGATTTATACATTATCTTAAAAATTAATTTACTCAAAATTCACTGGATGGTATTTCCTGAAAATTGAGATTAGAATTCAGTAGACTGCATATTAATATATTCCAAAGAAAAAGTTTAGGTGTTTTGACTTTTTTTGGTCCATTTTCAGCAGTGTGAACTATTAACTTGAGTCTAAAAATCAACTTCCTATTTTACATACATGTATAATATTATATAAATAAAAGATAATTAGTTTCCATAATTAGCCTTAAGAATTCCTGGGAAAGGGGTTTATTAAGTATTTTTAGATATTTTCCCTATCAGTTCTACCACTTATTATGAAATTGCTTTAATAGTACAACTACTCAATTAATCCTGCATGTTCACCGCAAATATTGTGTGATGTGTCATATCAAATAAAAATATTTTTCATGTAAAATCATGATTTTTTAATGAGTTCAATGTACATATTTGATTAATGGATGAATAATGAATTTATATTTAGGAAATTGTAAATTAATTATAATATTGTGATTTATATTCACCAGAATAAATTCCTTTTTTTATTTCATATCAGTTGTGTTGACTTACTACCGTCTGCAAAGCATGTATAATCATATGGCAGGGCGAACCGCGTCAGTTATATCTCCCTTCTGTTCCTTACTCCCTGGCTTGGACCCTTATCCTGTTCTAGCCGCATCCCTCGGGCCCCTAGCCCAACCAAGAGCACATCTCTCGACACAATTGCAGCCTGCGGCGCCTCAGATGGCCTAATTTTGGCCAAAAAATCCAAGATGTTAAAACTCAGACCTAAAAAAGTTGTTTTAAAACTTCTAACAAAGGAATGTTAAATATCCCTTTAAAAATGTGCAAATAGATTTACTTTGCAAATTTGCAAACTTGAAAATACTTGCAAAATAAATACTTGCTCAGAAACTAAAGTGCAGCTAATTTAATTTGTATGGAGGACGTAAGTATAAACATTTTCTGTTATCAAAACACAAATAGAATCAGATTTAAAACTTACATAAATTGCATAGAATATTAATAACAAATTTAATAATTTAGTAGTTTAAACTTATTAACAACAATCATATCATTAGAATAGATACATCTTAACAGAATTAAAATTTACACAAAAAAGATTTTTTATAAATAATACAAACACATATATGAAGATCGAATAAATGTACAGCTTATGTTCAGTGAGGAAAAGAGATAATGTTTTTCCTATTAAAGTAAATCCAATAAATTTAGTGATTTTCAAACTGAAAAGTATATCTTTAGACTATTCTGAATTCAAATAAATATCATCCGGTAGATTTTGAGATTCTAAAATATTCCTTCTATTATTAAAATTATATTGAAGTTTATATCTTGAAATGAAAAACCATCTCATGATTTTTGAACTCCTCTTCACTCCAACAAAGTTTCTCACACTCGTAACATAATTCCAGGAATATAAGATGATTCTTCTTCATGTGTTCATGGAACTCAGTAACAGTGCTGAACCTGCACAAGATTAAATTAAAATTAAATTTAAATATGTTTAGCAATAATTGAATCACAATCTATGATTTTATCGATAAAAGATTTACCTAACATTGTGAGATTCACAGAAACCTCCGTGGGTTTGTAGAAGATGGTTGTTAAACTTGAAGTAGGATTCCAACCCGTTCTTATCCTGGCATAGCTTACAGTAGAATCGCGGAGCTGTATTATGAACTGATCTCAAATGCTCCTCCATCTCCTTTAAACACATTTTACTCTTACCAGGGCATTTGAAGGAACAGGAGAACCCAGAAAGGTTTTTATCTTCTCCATATACACCCAGTCCTTTGGATTTCTTGTGAATACTTATCTTGAAGGTTTGAGAGTCTGACATCTGTGCAAAGCTCTGCCAACTCTTTATCCTAGGTTGGGCCGGGAATGGATTGTAACCAAGGATAAATTTCTCTTTTTTACTTTCAAGTTTTTTAAATGCACTCTTCCCATTGGCAAAGTAAAAATCATAGGGATTTTTTACTCCAACCAAATCGCTGTCATCAAATCCATGAAATTCCAATTTTAACTTTTTGGGGAAGATGTCAAACCTTTGCCATTTATATTTGGCGCAGGTAAAGATAGATTCATCATAGAACATCTTGACAGAACAGGATTCTAGATGCAGCTTCTTAGAGGTGTCAGGATTATGTTTTTCATCACAGAACTTGCAGATCTTTAGCCGTACAGGGTTTTCTGGGGATTTCTTTAGATCCTGTTTATTAGATTCAGTCGGGGTTTTATTCAGTTCTATCATCCTTCTTTCATCTTCATGGGCTTTCTTGTGCTTCCTAATAGAAAACCTCGTAAGAAGCTGTGGACAGTCATGGCAAACACGACGTTCTACAGAATGCTCAGAAATACAATGTTCCTAAATATTTTGTAGTTGTTATAAGTCCAGATTTATATGTGTCTTATTTATAGATGTAGTTTTATTTACTGAATCCTGATCAAATTGAAATGTATTTTTAAATTATAGAGATATAGTACAAATCTATAATATAATACCTTCATTAGCTGGCGATCAGGCATAGTAATATCACAGTAATAGCAATAGTACAGTTCATGTTTACTCCAGATATGAGAACTGAAAGAAAAAAAGTTTAGTTTCCTACCAAACAATAGATATGTAAAAAAGGGTAGTGATATCTTGTTTTACCTCATCGTGATAATGTTGAAACCGTCCTGGGAGCAGATATTGCATGAAATATTCTTATGCGTCATGAGATGATGGTGAAGAGCCAGTTTGGATTCTGTTGAGAGTTTACAATGTATGCATTGATTAGTATTTATAGAGTTGAACTTAGTTTTGGGAACAGATTGTTTCGATGTTTCAGATTCAGGTTTAGATTTACTCGCTAGCTTTCTTTTTTTAAGCTTAGGGTTAACCTTAGGGATGAGGTTTGGAGCAGCATCAGGTTTAGACTTTCTCACAGAATTCAAACTTTTGGGATCACATTTATGACTTTTAGATTGGTTGGGTAGAGATGTTGCAGTACATTTTGGATCTCCAATCTTTGTATTATTTTTATCTTTTGATTGAAAATATTTCAATATTTTTAAATCTAATGGTTGAAGTAAAATTTTGAGATCAGTTCGAATATTTACTTGACTTATAGAAGGATGACTGTCATTTGAACTCTCTTCAGCATTATCGATTTCAATTTCGAACTCTGTATCCCCATTGTGTAATGAGAATGAATTGGTGATAACAGGAAGAACCTGTAGCTCCTGTATCTCATCATCTTCCTCTTTAATTATCTTAGTTTGGTTGGTATCATCAAAATAGGAGAAAGGTTGATTTCTCTGGTCTAATGATTTTGTTGTGTCTGGGACATCTGTGGTGAGTTGGTGTAGAGAACTTTGTTTCTGTAAATCCACAATCTTGTGACTGTCTCTATTTGTTATACCAACACATCCTATATTTAATTTGGATCTGTTTTTAATGTTCAATGTTTCATTTTCAATGATAGGTTCTTGGGAAATAAACTCTGGGATTGAATCAACCTCTACTGTTCCTCTGGAGACATTAGAAACCTTGTTATCACTGCCAACCTCCATATCACTACTGTCCTTGTCACTATCATCAGTCATCAGAGCAATATGAACAAAACTTTTTAGAAAATTTACATCTAAATTTGACTGTAAACTACTTGAAGTTGAAGTTGGTTCATCTGTGTCTAGGTCTCTAGGTGTACATAAATGCGTGTTCTCCGGGATAACCGGAAAATCATTTAACCGTGAGTTAGAAGTGAGAGTTGCTGATGATGTTGCTAATGATGTTGCTGATGAATTTGCTGGTGATGTTGCTAATGAAGTTGCTGGTGATGTTGCTAATGAAGTTGCTGGTGATGTTGCTGATGAAGTTGCTGGTGATGTTGCTGATGAATTTGCTGGTGATGTTGCTAATGAAGTTGCTGGTGATGTTGCTAATGATGTTGCTGGTGATGTTGCTGATGAAGTTGCTGCTGGTGATGTTGCTGATGAATTTGCTGGTGATGTTGCTAATGAAGTTGCTGGTGATGTTGCTGATGATTCTACTGATGAGGCTGCTGATGCAATCATTTTTGAAGTGGTGAAAGTCATAATTTGTTTTGAAACTAAAGTTAGTGTGGGTGTATTTGAAAAGGATGTTGCTGAAGCTGATGATGATGCAGATTGGGAACATGTCGACAAGGATGTTGTTGGAGCTGATGATGATGCAGATTGGGAACATGTCGACAAGGATGTTGCTGGAGCTGATGATGATGCAGATTGGGAACATGTAGACAAGGCCCCTGTAAAAAGAAAACCAATGGTATATAAACATTTACATTACTCACTTTTTTGACAACAAAATGATCAGGTAAAAAGTAACACATTTGAAATATAAATTCTTTAAACTTTATCTGAATCTTAATATTAATAGTAAGGTATACAGATGAAGATGGGCGCATTCGACTATTATTCAATTCCTTCGTTAATTGTTATTTAAATACCCATTTCATTCCTTATTTTCTTCACTTTTTCAGAAATTTTTTTAGTAAGTTTGTTTTCAGAATTATCTTTCATTTAGTTCATTTTCCAAAGTACGTTTACAGATCGTCAGTAAAAAAGATAGTTGTTTTTTTAAAAGTTTGTTAGTAGACAATTGTTTGTTCACTAAAAACTTTTAATTTTGTTCTAAAAAATTGTTCGTTCAGTAAAAAAATTAGATACATTTTTTAATGTTCGTTCGAACCATAAATTTAGAAATTGTTCACTAACAGTTTAACAGATCAATAAAATGATTGATGCCCATCTCTAAACGAGAGCTACATCTTCTGTAGGAGAGAAGATAATTAATTTTATAATAACAATTCTAAACATCAACCCTATACATACCTACCAACTCATTAAACATACAAATACCAACTTTAACATTAATTTAGCATTAAACATTTACAAATATAAATATCTTGTTTACTTATAATAGGATAGCAAGTATAAATAAGGTCAAGGATATCTCATTTTAGAAAAACACTTTTTTTATCAAATTCTATCATTTAGGGGGTGAGCATTTTTTGAAATTTTTCTGAAATCATTTTACATAAGCAAAATTGTATTCTTCTTTGAATTTTAAGGCAATGCATCTTTTACAAAAACCGGCCCCCTCAGTTTAGGTTTAAAGATAAAAAATATAAAAAAAAAATCACTTTCAATGAAAATTTGTTTTTTAAAGCATTAGAAATGGATCTCAAAAATTCTGCGAGAAAACCGCGGAAAATATTTATACAGACTTCAAAAATATTTTAAAAATGGGTGAGCTATGGTTTAAACAAAATAGTTTCTCTTATTAATTTTGTTGGTACTCAAGTGTGTTTTTATGCTTTAAATCGGTCAATTTGCAATATTTTTATATTTTGTAATTTTATTTTTAAATTCGGGAAAACAATTCCCAGTTTCAAAAATACCCGTTCATTATATATCTGTTTAAAATTTCAATTTTCATTTGTATCATATTAGTTTTGATCATTACAACCCATTTCAGGGAGCCATTACTGATTTTTCGAAACATTTTACGTTTAAAACATGCCAATAAGAATTTCAAAAATTCCAATTTTGCTTTTGTAAAATTTCTGAAAAATGTCACAAAATTTCACACCCCTCTTATCGTTTTGATGTTCCGATGCTGAAATCGTGATAAACTTTATTTTTAAGATACGAAAGAATCATATTCAATTACTAATAGCTGATCCCCGAAAATATCTGTATATGTCCCTGAACAATTAGCTGATTAATAATTTATAACCTGTAGCAGTAGAACTGTTGGATATATTCTGTGTTTTCCCTTTTTTCTCCGCATCAAGCTTTTTCACCATTTCCAGAGTTTCTCGAAGCGAGTACATTTTTCAAGCTAACGATACTGCACTTACTGCGAAAAACTAAACATGACAATATCATGAATATTTGAAGATCATGATTCTTAGTTTTTCTCCCGATTGAAACTTGAGTATAGATCACTAGTATTAAGGATTTAAAGGTACGCTTTACGCTTTACGCGATAGGAATCACTAATGTTGTCTGTGCCCTGCGGCTTTGTGTAGATCAGCTGTTTACGGGGGGGGGGAATAGTACTCTGCAACCCCTAGTTTTCCCAGCGGGCTCAGGACAAATTCATAATCTTTTTTAAACTTATTGCATTATCATTAAGGATGATATTGTCATTTTTCTTACTTAACATTTTTTTCTCAATTTTCTGCTCTTTTCTTGCCCTATGAATATACTGCAGTTCCCAATTTTACAGGAAAACACAAAAGAAAATTTTCAGTTTTTTAATTTAAAAAAGTGACTCACTTATTTATTCTCAGTAGGTTTAAAGAAAAGAGTCACATGAAATCACTAGAAATCTCTTATCAGTAATAGAAAATGATAATTTTAAAGCAATTTGTTAGATTAATTTTTTCTCTTTATTTTCTTCAATTTTAGATTTTATATACAGCATCTTCAGCCCCATGGCACTTGAATACCCCAGTATATATTCTGTAAAAAGAATTTGCAGAGTCCCTTGAAACTTTAATCTTATCAATTTGGCGAAGTTATATCTTGAAAAATTGAAACTGCCATGCCATGAAAATTTATAATCACAACAAAAACATGAATATCTAATCACAAAGCATTCCTAGGGTATCATGAAGACCAACATATTGCCCAAAAACAGATACAGTCTACAGATTACAGGGCAATACCCACAAAAGATGAAACGTCATATTCATTCATGTTTACGCCCTTATCCATGCACCTCCATTTCATATTTAAGGCAGTTAAATTAGTTATGCATGAAAACTTTCAGTTTCATTTCAGTAAAAATTTGTATAATTTCTATAAATGCATGCAATTTTCTTGCAAAGCACAGTTTGCACACAGCTTTCTTGATTAATATGTAGGGTGCCCCAGCAAACATGGGAATTCCTTAAATTCAGTGTTTATTTTTAAAATTAGATTCACTGATTTAATTTAACTCCTAAACTTATTATTATTTAGGGAGGTCTGGGCCGGAGACGGTTTGTTAGGGTCGTTGAGTCATTTATTAACGCTCATCTTTAAAATCATTCACAATCCAATCAAATTGAAAATATAGACGATTTTATTGTTGTTACCGAATTTTCAAGGTATTGTGTATTATATTTAACATACCTTTTCAGCAGAAATGTTTGCAAATTGTGTTCGCTCAGCCAAACTACATTTTAGTTTTTGCAACAAGTTTAGACTCATGGGATAAAGTTTACTAAAATCCAAGATCCGAGTTTTAATGCAGTTGCAAAATTATGTTCTCCATTTTCTACAATATTTTAGTGGATTTTTGTTGGTATAATTTTATAAAATTTCAGATTTTTGTCTTTATTATTATTGTTTATATTTTTAGCTCTATATGATAGTTGATACAAATCATATACCTAAAAGAATTTTTTTTTCCAGAAAATTTTTATAATTTGAAGAAAATTACTGTAACACCATTGGTACAAAAAATGTCTTCCCTCTTTCCCTTTCTTTCCTTTATTTTTTTTAAATTTTCGTTTCCTTCTTTTTAAGATTATATTTTTTTTCTCTCTCCCCCCCCCCCTTCTTGAGAAAGAAGGGGCACCTGCCCCTGTGCCCCACCCCACTCGCTTCGGGACTGGCCTGTAGTACACATATATGTATGTTTATGTTTTGGTATTTTCAAGGTGTATTTTGTTACTGGAGAACAGTACTTGTCATTATTGTTTTATTTAAGTTTTACTTGATGTAAAGCCATGATACTTTAAGGTTTATTATCAATAAACAAATCAAAACGAGCTGAGTTTTACAACTTGGGGAAATAAACCTGCAGACTTTCAACAATCCACTCTCAAACATATAAAAAGCCATAAAAGAAAACTTTATATGTATTCTGAAATCCAACAAAAAAGATGCCATTCACTGTTTCAAGAATTAAATTCATGAGCTTTTTCGCGTTCAGTATTCTGCAACTTGAAATTACACTCACAAACAGGGGCGGATACAGGAGGTGGGGGGGGGGGGGGGCAAGACCTTCGCACCCCCTGAATTTCAGAATAGCTTCTTGATAGCACTTAAGGGAAATAAAACCTAATGCAAAACAGGAAAAATATCTATTTAAAAAAAATTCGCATGCGGCACGTCTTTTTGTTCCTAAATTTAAATTTTTTCATTTCAAAATAAATCTAGCACCCCCCCCCCCTCACTTAAATCCTGTATCCGCCCCTGCTCACAAATGCTTTACATATATATGTTGACCTTAAACTATGAGCTTACTCCGTTGTAAAGTCGTATTTGATTTTCTCAGGCGACCAAACCAAACATTACCTCCGATGAACAGTATAAACAATTTTCACGTGCAGTACCCCCGCTTCAAAAGTTAAAAGAATACCACTTAAAAAATAGAGATTTACATTTAAAATCAATTGCCATTTTATTTCAGAAGACAAAAAGTTGTTTAAGTACGTTGTTCAATAACCGGACTATAATCTTTTACCCACTAAGCATTTTTCATTAAAATAAAACATTACATTTATACTCTGTAAACCGAGTAAACCTTTGTTAATTAAATGTATTCTTTTGGATCGAAATAAATTGAATACCATTTATTATCGATTTCGGGTACAATAAAGGATAAGAAGGTTATTCTATGAATGTTTGAATGTTATGAATGTTCGGGAGCTCCAGTTAATCGGAACTTTTGGTTTGGATACTCTTTTGGTTCGGTCCTTGGAAGATTACTGTAGAAGTTCTCACCGCGCATTTCAAGATCACCCCCTTGCAGTTTAGCTTAACAAGGTTAATGTTTGAATGTTTTGAATGTTTGGGAGCTCCAGTTAATCGGAACTTTTGGTTTGGATACCCTTTTGGTTCGGTCCTTGGAAGATTACTGTAGAAGTTCTCACCGCGCATTTCAAGATCACCGCCTTGCAGTTTAGCTTAACAAGGTTAATGTTTGAATGTTATGAATGTTTGGGAGCTCATATGCGACATCAATGATACGACTGTGTGACCTCCTTGTAGCTCCTCTAGTTTTGATAACGGACAAATATGAGAAAAAGTGCAAATGCGAAAGAAACACAAAGCCTTTTGTTTGGTTGCATTATGCATACCAGAAATTAAAAATTATTTTTCTAAGAGCGTTTTAGTTAAAAACGTTAGAATGAAAAAATGTAAGATTTACATCAAAATTTGACGTGCATAATAAAGAATTAATACAAAAGAAGTTGTAGCGGATTTTTCTGATATTATCAATTTTCAAAATCGAGTAAAATCACACTTTTTGGGTTGGCAATTTTAATCCTGATAGTGGGGATAGTATAAAGAAGGGGGTAAGGGGAGGGGATAGTATTAAGAACAAAGGCCAAAGTCCTGGGAACGTTTAAAAGGCGTCCAGTGTTAAAAATGATTAATTTCTATAGTTGTTGTTATTTACTTTCCGTTATTTACTTTCTCTCATTTACTTTCCGTTATTTAATTTCTCTCCTTTTCTTTCCGTTATCTACTTTCTGTCATTTACTTTCTCTCATTTACTTTCTATTATTTACTTTCTCTCATTCACTTTCCATTATCTACTTTCTCTCGTTTACTTTCCGTTATCTACTTCCTCTCATTTTTCTCCGGTTTTTACTTTTTTCATTTACTTTCGGAATTGGAGGAGTTGGAAAAATAGCTGGAATTGGACTTGGAGGTGGAATAGAAATGAGGGTGGAATTGGAATCAGCAGGGGAATCGGAGGAGGAGTTGGAAGATTAGGTGGAATTGGACTTGGAGTTGGATTAGGAGGCGGAATTGGATTGGAAGGTGGGTATTGAAAGCTAAGGACATGGAGGCCATGGTGGAGGATATAAACATCAAGAATATGAACATACAATCACTAAGTATGCATACAAGTATGGTGTAAATGCTCCTGGTGGTGAGCAAGGTTACGGAGGATACTCAGGACCTGTCAACTTTGGACATGAAGAGGATAGGGACGGCTACTCTACTCAGGGATCATACTATGTAGATCTTCCTGACGGCCGATGACAGATTGTTACATACCATTTAATTTTAAAATCTTTGAAAGTCTAATGATGTTAACAGAAAACTCTGCTAAATTTTAGTTTAAGAGGAGTACGAAGTAAAAAGGCGGTTTGAAAAGCAAAATTCAAAAGCCAAGAATGTTACTAGAAAAAAAGGGCCATAAAAACCTTGTCTAGTTAAATCTTCTAGATGTACAAAATTCGAAAGAGGCTCAAATACTTAATTAATACTTCAATAATAACAAAAGTATAATAATAATAAAAATTGAAAGGTAGAGGTAAACATAAAAAAGTAAGAACATATATGGAAAAAATTTACAAAAATTTGATATGAACTAATGAAAAGAATAAGGCGGATTAATCAGTTAAAATGTAACAAAGATACTTCTTCAGTATTTATTATACTCCTTACAATGAACAGACCATTCATAAATCAATTTTTCAGAGAAAGCAAAGAAGAAATGTTAAAGTTCTGCTTTTAATGTGTAATGTGCCATCCAATTAAAGCTACTGCTATTAAAGAATTTTATGTCTCTATAACATTTTATCTTTCTGGATTCATATGTCTGTTCTAGACTAGTATGTTTCTAAGTACAGGGTTTACAAGAAAAGAAAGATTGTAGAGTTTCTTGACATTTTGAGATAATAATGTTTTAACTGGCACTAAGCAGTTGGAAAACCCCAAGGTGTTAATGCAAGAAAAGTTATTTCAGAGGTGTACGCATCTTTTGTACTGCAGTGTACTGTCTCTGGGCGGTAATGTAAACACAAGACGGATGTCACAGCCTGACATGGGATCCATCTTTCACATAAAAAATCAATGAAATAGTCTACTCATAGGAAACTATTACGTGAATTATCAAAATTAAATGCTTTTAACCTCCTCGGATAATAAACGAACACTGACGCATCTATTCTTGTTTACCAATTCCGCCCAGATAGAACTGGTTTTAATATGTACGCATAGTATTCGCGACCATAATTAACTTTCCTTGCATTAGTACCTTGGGAAAACCCTAATTTATAACTGTCAGAAGCATAACTATATATA